CTTAACTTAGAGGGCTGTGGACCACACAAAAGTGTGTGTGGCCGCATAGCCTCTAATGCGGACTGCACAAAAGTGTGTGCGGCCGCATAATTCAAATTTCACTGGCACTGTTTTATAGGGTTTATGCAATTTTGCTCTCAAATTGACATGGTTTTAGCAAACACACAGCATTAGTTATTTACCCAGACCCCAATTATACTTCAAGATGCTACCCGCATGATTCCAAGCATAAACAACTAAACATTGACGTTTTTAGGCATGTAATTAACCCTAAATCAAAGAACAAAAGCAAACAAAAGATGAAGAATCTATAGAAGAAATTAACACACCAGTGTTGAAGATGCAGGTTAGAATCTAAGTCGATGAAATGAGGGAAGATTTGAGAGCAATGGGAAAATGCACTATGCTAGCTTAGCTTCAGGGCTCAAAAGGTCGAAAAATGTAAAAAGATGAGAGAAACCCTATTTATTCTGTTATCCGTCGGGCACAGTTTTCTACCTGAGTGCGGCCGCATAATTTTGATGCGGTCCGCACTCCTTACCTACCCGTGTGAAGCCCTGCTGCGGACCGCACAAAAATAAGTGTGACCGAACATCAGTGTGGACCGCACAAAATTGTGTGCGGCCGCAATTTTTGAAGCTTTTTTGACAAACCAACTTCAGAGACCATGCATGTTGACACTTAGCAAAATTTTCTTGCATAGTCCCTGCAATGCACACCCATTCCCACATACACTTCAAAACTAGTTAGTGTAAAACAAATCCTATCTAATCTACAGAAGAAAAACAAAAGAAAGAAAAGACATGGGTTGCCTCCCAAAAAGCGCATGATTTAACGTCGCGGCATGACGCAGATTACCAATCATGTATGATAGAATATAAGGGTCCATCAAACTCTATACATAACCAGGTTCTCTATCAGGTTCAACAGTACACACACACAAGAGTAAATAAATGGGAAGAGGAATTTTACGTGGAAAATTCCCAACTCAACGGGATTAAAAACCACGACCTACCCTTGTAGGATTTTAACTTTACTACTGAGCAACTTTTGGATTACAACCAATGCAACCTAGGAATTAACCTCTTAATCCCTTACTAACTTGTAATACTCTATTACAAGCCACTTTGTAATAACTCTATTACAAAGACTTTACAACATGACTAACTCTAGCCAAGACGCAAACACGCTGGTTTTAAGGTTTACAAAGGGGTTTCTATAGAATGCTTCTAAACAAGCTAGATAGGAATTACTATTGAAAAACTATTACAAAGTTACAAGTGTTCAAGTATTGTGTTTTAACTCCCTTGAATGTATATATACATGTGTGACATCACTTACAATGACGCAAGCAAGGTAGGTAAAAAGTCTTCCCTGGAAAGTTGACTGCAGCACTATTCCTGCACTGTAGCGTGTGCAGGCAGCAACTTTCCAACTGGAAAGTTAACTTCGTATAGTCTTCTCAAAAACTGGTAGGGACCTATTCCCTCAGCTGTTCCTTCCACTTTGAAGAGTTGAATCATATTCCACGCTGAATCCCAACCTGGAACCTTGTGATCTTAAGGTCTTGTAAATGTGTAACAGGTTCCTTATCTGGTTCTGAATAGTAAGTTTGTTAGATCATCAAAACATAAAGTAAAGTACTTATGACCAAAGTACTTGTAACCCATCGATTTTCCCCTTTTTGATGATGACAAACTCATAATTAAAAATCCCAGAAAGAGCCATATAGAACCAGACTGTGAACTAGAAAGACCTTATGTTTTCCCCTGAATCTCTACATCCTCCCTTAATCAGTACCTGAACTTTTGTAAGTTCCCCCTGAATCTGTATTTCTCCCCCTTCAGATTATTATTCATTTATGCTCTTTATAATTCAACTGAATCTTCCCCCTTTTGGCATCATAAAAAGCACAGAACAAGTTAGTAGCATAAAGGAGTCTATCATAGCTAACTATGCCACTTATATGCTCACAACATGATAGAGAACAGAAACAAAAGAGCAACAGCATAGATAGCAAAAAGGAAATCCCTTTCATTAACCAAATTTGGACTTTTACATGTTAGAGCAGAATCATTGTTTTCATCCACAGTCTAAAACAAACAAAAAAACAATTGCCAGAAACAACAAAACATCGCCAAGAACAACTTAAGAAGATAGACACTGGAAACTGGACAGGGGACATTCTTTAAGGGACACTGGAGGAAGGGGGCTTGGAAGAGGAAGCAAGGGTTTGGAGGACAAGATCCATGCGAGCATTCGCAGACATTTGCTCATTGAGAAGTCTTTCTTTCAGGTCCTCTATCTATTTACTGAGTTCAGCATTCTTCGTTGTTAGGCGTGCGACCTCTGAGCTATGAGAACTACTAGAACCAGGTGCCTCTTGCAACTGACTGAGCTGACTCTCAAGAATCGCGTTCCTAGCCTTCAACTTCCAGATCTCCTCTTTGGCACTATTCTGAGCATTTATTAGTTGAGAGATTGTGGAAGTGCTTCCAACTCCTTTGACTTTTTTAATACACTCACACTCCTTAATAGTAGTTTTTGAAAAGTATTGCTTTTTAGTGCCCAATTTGGCCTGACCCATAGGTACTTTGATAAACTCAAAGACCATTGTAAGAAGGAACCCATAAGGCAGTCCAGGATTCCCATCTCTAAGGTTATCTACCTTCTGCATATGCTCAATCATTATGGCAGGCAAATTGATGGTGGTAAAATTATTCAAGGCTTCCATAAGGAATAGGTCAGCTTTGGATGCAACATATCTTCTTTCAGCGCGGGGAAGAAACACTTTGTTAACCATCTCAAAGAGCAACTGATATGCTGGAAGGTGTGCCTTCTTATGCACCTGTTCCCCATGTTGTACTACCTTTTCCTTAACAATGGCATTTTTGAAGTTTGGTGTGCAGGCACCCTAAACAGATGCAGTCATTCGGCAGGAACACCCAGAATTGACCCCAGTAAGGCAGAGTCCATCACTATGTCCACCCCATTTACCAACACACAGATTTGATCACTATCTACTGTAAAGAGGCTGGTGTAGAAACTCTGTACCTCCTCCTCATACACTATAAGAGCCTCACTTGTAAACAGATTGGTCCACTGTTGAGAATCACAAATGTCCACTAATTGTCTCATCCCAGCAATCTCTAGAATGTCAGAGGCAAATGTGCGGCCCCACAGTACTTTCTGATTCCCCAACTTCCTTTTCTCAGACCTTAGAGACCCACTAACTTTTGCTTTCTTGATGGAACCAGGTTCCTCCTCATCATCATCCCTTATTCTTTTTACTGACTTGCCATCAGACTTTTCCTTCTCCACTGACTTGTTCTGTATATGCTTTTTCCACTTCTTCCTCATCAGACTTGTCACCATTCTCCTTCACTGTCTTGTCACCAGAATCTTTTACCAACTTTTCACTGGAAACAGCATCAGCACTCTTGGAAGGACTCTCAGCACACTTAGAAGTGTGCCGTTTGGATTAGAGAGAGAGTGCTTCTTCCTTGAAGACTTGCGGGTCAGGGAACTAGGTTCCTCTTTGGTTTCCTAACCCACATCAACTACAAGGACATCCTTTTCTTGTACAACTTTTCCATCTTTGACAACCTTCTCCTTCTCCAACTCATTTTACTCTTCTTGAGAGAAGGCTCTAGAGCCTCTTTTTTCTGCAACCGTGTAATGGGTCGCTTAAGAGGTGGCTCTGAAGTTACCACTGGCTTAGTCCTAGCCCTAATAAAACTAGCATATGCCAAATCATCTGCATTTTCTTCACTGTCAGGATTCGTCTCAGGCACCACCATATTCAAAGGCTCAGCATAGAAGTGGGGAGAAGGAGCAGGATCAACACTGGCCTGGGTAGATGACTCCTGACTTGGGTCCTCCCCGGAGGGATCAAACTCATCATTTGGGACCCCAGTAGCATCATCTTGTACCGTTTGTTCGAATGGCACAAGTGCTCCTTTTTCTTCTGATGGCTAAGGCTCTTCCCCCTGAAACTCAGACACTCCTCCATCTTCCTCTACAACAATCCTTCTGAAGCAATGGAAAGCATATTTTCTATCCCCTCTCTTTCTTGTGGTTTCATGGAAATTTCAGCAGAAGAAAGAGTGATACCTGTAGAATCGTGGCATGTCATGGTTGTCTCAGTCTCTTCATGACTAATCACCTGATTTTCACTCGAGTGCCCAACCATGGAGATGGTTGATGATTCCTGAACAAGGTTCCCCTGTTTACCCTGTTCACCCTGTTGACTCTGTTTGACCGGTGAGACTAGAGGAGGACAAACATTCTCAAACTTGCTCATATAACGAGCAGACTCGGAGTGGGTTGGAGAGGAAGTGGAGTGTGGAGGAGACTCTGCTTTAGGGTTTGGACTAGTGATTGTGTTGGGGGAGGAGTTTACCACTGGAATGCAGACTTGTGAGGACTCAATCACGGTGTTATCAGGCACACTGAAGGTTGCTTGATTTTCAGACATGGTGAGACTGTACTCGCAGGGTTGTGAATTGAGAAGAGAGAAGACAAGGAGAAGTTTTTGAATTTGGAAGAGAAGGGTTATGATATTGATTTATTTATGATGAGGGACCAGTTCTGAAATGGTGGCAACCGTTTTGCTTGGGGAGTTGTATCGAGCAGAAAAAGGTGTGACGCTTTGGATGAAAAGACACATCTTAAAGATACTGTCATGTTGATAATGATGTGGCATTGTTTTTGTCCATTTTAAATTGTGTATGAAAGAACAAAGAAGCTACTAACCTGTATCAGGAAAACCAGGTTCCCTAATAGGTCTGGCAAGTGAGTTTAACCCCTTATTCAGCATGCACTGCAGCATCTGCTTCTGTAGTCATCATGCGTGTCTACCTGCAACGGTATAGAGGCGAGTTAGACTTAGCCAGAAAACACTTTAGCTAGCTTTTACCTGACTATGACTTTCATAACCAATCATGAGGAACCAGGTTCTCAGTTGGGTTTTATCATCCCCTAGTGCAAGGCGATTTTTCTCAAAATGCTTTCTTCCCAGGGCTTTTGGTGAAGATGTCTGCAACTTGATCTTCAACAATCAATGTATTTGGCCCGCTTGAGTTGGACTCAAGTTCTTCCAATTTGCTGCTTGGTCCACAACATTTGAGCACAACAGGAGGCTGATGATACATATTCTGCTTCAGTTGTTGGAGTGCCATTGAATTTTTCTTCCTTGAGCCTCATGACACAAGACAGGAACCTAGAGAATGTCCCATTTTAGGCGAGCTTCTCCTATACATTACTTGAAGGATAGTAGAGAACCAGGTTCCGTGTTCCTCTAAGATATCTTAAAATTCTTACACCAGCCTTCAGATGAGAATCCTTTGAATTTGACTTAAACCTTGCACAGAACGCAACTCTGAGCATGATGTCCGGTCTACTTGCAGTGAGATACAGGAGTCTTTCAGTGATGTCTCTATGCATAGTTTGATTTAGAGGAGAACTAGGTTCATCCATGTCTGGGCGTGTAGCTGTGGGAATGGGAGTGTTGATGACCTGTGATGCTTCTATACCAAAACCTTTTTCAATAACTCATTTTTCAGCTCCTGTTGTTGTAGACGCGGGACCAGGTTTGTTGCTGGAATCAATGAGCGTTCTCTACCTTGATCAGTATTTTTATTCTCTCTTGATACGAGTACATCAGGAAGATTCCTCCATCTCTTTTACCATCATATTTTCAAAGTTGATCATTCCCATTGTTGAGAGCATAACAATTGTACCTAGATATCCTCAATTGAGTCAGCAACTTTGGCCAAGATGTTTGCAATCCCTCTATCAAATAATATTGACCGTGCCCAATCTTCAAGAGCCCCTTTCTTCTTTTCCACAACTCCATTTGTTGTGGTGTTCATGGAGATAAGCGGTTGAGTAATTCTTCCTTGAATACAACATTCATCCACTTTGGCATTATCCAAACATGTTCCATGATCTGATCTGATACAGGCCACATTTGTTTCTATCTATACCTGGATCTTCTTGACAAAAGCCACAATTACTTGAAAAATCTCATCCTTGGTTTTGAAGAGCAGAGCCCAAGTGGAATTGAGGTGCCGACTTCCCCCTTTTGGGCTTAAATAGAGATCTGACATACTTTCCTTTTGCACATGTATTATACACGTTGTGTTCCTTGATACTCAACTTGGTCAGATCACGAACCAGGTCCTTCAGGGCCAGTATATTCAGTCATAAAACACTTGCATATCCCTTCCTTTTGTCCCATAGTTCAGCATTGTTTTCAACAACTCTCAACCAACTTATATCACCGCTTTACAAAGGCTCAAACCTAGCAACATAAGTATTCTTGTATCTTTTGGCTACAGCATCACCTCACCAGTCATAGGTTTTGAGATTGCGCATATCCTGGACAAGAATTTCACTTTATTGCCCTTGACACATATCTTCCAACTCCTAAAATGTACCCCTTTTAGCTATTTTCAAAAGGGTACACTCTCTCCTTGCAGGCCTTTTAGTAAAGGAAATTGATCGTATTTTCCTTCATGTGTTTTGAGCAGCTACTGTCCCTATGCCATTGTTGGCTGCTCACCTTCACTGCTCCCTGCACAAGGAAATCAAGGGTTAGATTTAGCAACCCAAATGAGTTTGAGTGAAAACTCTAAGTGTTCAAGTATTGTGTTTTACCTCCCTTGAATGTATATATATGTGTGTGACATCACTTATAATGATGTAAGCAAGGTAGGTAAAAAGTCTTCCCTGGAAAGTTGACTGTATCAGTGTTCCTGCACTATAGCGTGTGCAGGCAACAACTTTCTAGCTGGATTGACTTCGTACAGTCTCCTCGGGAACTGGTAGGGACCTGTTCCCTTAGCTGTTCCTTCCACTCTAAAGAGTGGAATCATATTCCACGCTGAATCCCAACCTGGAACCTTGTGATCATAAGGTCTTGTAAATGTGTAACAGGTTCCTTATCTGGTTCTGGATAGTAAGTTCGTTAGATCATCAAAACATAAAGTAAAGTACTTATGACCAAAGTACTTGTAACCTATCAATGTGAAATGGAGAATCGCCACCATGTGGCCATCATCAACCTTGCCAAGATAATGCTTAACCCGGTGCCCATTGACTCTAAACACCTCATTGTTCTTAATTTTCAAATCTAGAGCACCAAAGGGGGTTACATTCACCACTTCAAAGGGGACACTCCATTTTGACTTCAACTTGCGCGGGAACATCCGTAACCGGGAATTGAACAAAAGCACAAGATCACCCTCATTAAACTCCTTGTTATGGATATACTTGTCATGGAGGTACTTCATCTTCTCCTTGTAAAGGGACGAACTTTTGTAGGCATGATACCGGAATTCATCAAGCTCATTCAAATATGCCACTCTTAGGTTTGCAGCGATATCCCACTCAAGTTTCAACTTTTTCAAAGCCCGCATGGCCTTATGCTCAAGTTCTACCAGAAGATGACATGCCTTCCCAAACACTAATCAATATGGAGACATCCCAATCGGCATCTTGTAGGTCGTCTTATAATCCCAAAGAGCATCATCAAGTTTTCTTGACCAATCCGTTTAGTTGGCATTCACAGTCTTTGATAAAATACTCTTGATCTCTCGGTTGGAGACTTCAACCTGTCCACTTGCATGAGGATGGTAGGGGGTTGAGACTTTATGAGTGACACCATACTTTGTGAGTAAGGTATCAAAAGCCTGGTTTCAAAAATGCGAACCCCCATCACTAATACTGGCCCTCGGAGTACCAAACCTCGTGAAGATGCTCTTTTTCAAGAATGCCACCACACTTCGAGCTTCATTGCTGGGTAAAGCCACAGCTTCAACCCATTTGACACATAGTCCACAACTACCAAAATGTAAGTGTTCCCACAAGAGCTTACGAATGGTCCCATGAAATCAATACCCCAAACATCAAAGATATCAATCTCTAAAATGGTGGTAAGGGTCATCTCATTATTCTTAGAAATCCTACCGGCCCTTTAACATTCATCACAATGCTTGACTAGATCACTAGCATCCTTGTAGAGAGTAGGCCAATAGAATCCACAAGTCAAAACCTTTGTTGCCTTTCTAGCTCCACCATGGTGGTCACCGTACGGTGAAGAGTGGCAAGCCTCAAGAATTTCCATTTGTTCTTCTTCTGTCACACATCACCGGATCATACAGTACATATCCGGAAAAGATTACGGCTCATCCCAATAATAATCCAAGCAATCCTGTTTGATCTTATTCCTTTGGTTTGAAGAGAACTCATTCGGTATAATGTCGCTCACAAGATAATTGGCTAAATCGGCAACACATGGCATCCTGGTCATTGAAATGGCTAACAATTGCTCGTCGGGGAAGGAATCATTGATCTCAAGGCCATCATTTGGCCTCCCCTCTTCCTCCAAACGGGACAAGTGGTCCGCCACTTGATTTTCACTACCCTTGCGGTCTTGAATATCTAGATCAAACTCTTGCAAAAGAAGCACCCACCGCATAAACCATTCCTTGGAATCTTTCTTACTCATCAAATACCGAAGCGTCGCATGGTCGGTGTGAACAATCACCTTAGTACCTATCAAACACGGCCGGGACTTCTCCATGGCAAAAATAATAGCAAGTAGCTCCTTTTCGGTCACTGTGTAGTTGACTTGGGCATCATTCATGGTCTTGCTAGCATAGTAGACCGGATGGAAGATTTTGTTGATTCTTTGCCACAACACCGCTCCAACCGCAACATCACTAGCATCACATATGAGCTCAAAAGGAAAGCTCCAATCGGGTGCGGTGATAATAGGAGTAGTAGTCAACTTGAACTTAAGCAACTCAAATGCCTTCATACAATCTTCATTGAAATGGAACTTGGCATCCTTCTCCAAAAGTTTGCACAATGGGTGCACCACCTTGGAAAAGTCTTTGATTAATCAGCGATAGAAACCTGCATGACCCAAGAAGCTCCTCACTCCCTTCACGGATGTAGGGGGTGGGAGTTTGGATATCACCTCAATTTTCGCTTGGTCGACCCCAATACGATATTTTGAAATTTTCTAGCCGAGGACAATGCCTTCCTCGACCATGAAGTGACACTTCTCCCAATTCAACACCAAATTTGTCTCCTCACATCTAGCCAAAACTCTATCAAAATTGTTCAAACAATCTTCAAACGAATTCCCAACCACAGAAAAATCATCCATAAAGACCTCAAGAACATCCTCCACCTTGTTGGTGAAAATAGCCATCATACACCGTTGAAAGTCAACGGTGCATTGCATAACCCAAATGGCATCCTTGAAAACGAGAAAGTACCATAAAGACATGTGAAAGTGGTCTTCTCTTGGTCCTCGAGAGCAATAATAACTTGATTGTAGCCGCAGTATCCATCAAGGAAGCAATAAAAAACACGTCCGGCCAACCTATCAAGCATTTGGTCAAGAAATGGAAGCGGGATATGATCTTTCTGAGTGGCTTTATTGAGCTTCATATAGTCCATGCATACTCCCAATCCGGTGATAGTTCTTGTGGGGATCAATTCATTCTTGTCATTTGTTACCACAGTCATTCCCCCTTTCTTGGGACACATTGCACTGATGAGGTCCACGAGCTATCAGAGATGGGGTACACAACCAGGCATCAAACCACTTGATAATCTCCTTCTTCACCACCCATTGCATTGCTTCATTTAGTCTTCTTTGATGTTCAACAGAGGGTTTGGCTCCATCCTCCAAAATAATCTTGTGCATATGCCGCGGATATCCGCCAAAGTTCATCTGATTGCTCTTTTCCCTTTTGTAGCACCTCCAATGTGGACTCTACCTGCATGCCAGTTAAGCAAGAAGAAAGGATAACTGGTAAAGTAGAAGAATGGCCAAGGAATTCATACCTAAGAAGTGGAGGCAATGGCTTTAACTCCAATGTAGGAAGCTCCTCGATTGAGGGCTTTGTTGGAGGAGTCTTCCGGTTTTCAAGATCCAAAAATAGCTTTCGGGGCTCATAAGTGTACGACCCCATGCCTCTCAATGCATTTACACACTCCACATAGCCATCACTTTCCTCATCATCATCCAGGTCGAGCAACACGGCTTCTATTTTTTCCTCAACATTCATTGTGGCACTAGTATCATCAACAATCACGTCGGCTACCAAATCCATGAACGAGAAAACCTCATTACTATTCGGTTGCCTCATTTATTTGCTCACATGGAAGACCACCTTTTCTTCACCCACTCGGAATGTGAGCTCACCGGCTTCCACATCAACAAGAGCCTTCCCCGTAGCAAGGAAAGGTCTACCCAAAATGATAGGCACCTCATAGTCCACTTCACAATCAAGGATCACAAACTCCGCTGGGAGGATGAACTTGTCAACTCGAACCAATACATCATCAATAATACCCAACGGCCTCTTCATTGTCCGATCCGCCATTTGCAACCTCATGGATGTGGGTCTTGGTTTCCCAATTCCCAAAGTTTTGAACACCGAATAGGGAATCACGTT